ATAGTAGCACTGACTTCACATTGGAGTTGAAAATCCGGATCTTATTTTTGATGCTGAGTGCTGTTGACCTCCACACAGATTTGAGAGTAATGAAAGCTTGTCTTGCTTTTCCGATTCTGGCTTTGATGTCCTCGTCAGTTCCGCCTGTAGTTGAGACGATGCTTCCCAGGTAGGTGAAGGAGGTTGTTTCTTTCAGGTTCTTCCCATTTATGCTGATTGTTGTTTGTTGTTGTTGTTGGCTAGGAATCTTCATCACCTCTGTTTTATCTATGTTCACGTGAAGTCCTATCTTTGATGCTTCTTCTGCCAACTTGTTACTTTTCACTTGCATATCTTCCAGTTTGTGGGAAATCAGACATATATCATCGGCGAAATCCAGATCCTCCAAGTCTTTTGTGTCAGTCCATTTTATGCCTGTTCCCTCGTTGGTTGCCGTTGTCTGTCGCATTATCCAATCAATTGCAATCAGGAAGATCATTGGTGATAGTAGACAGCCTTGCCTCACTCCCGTCCTCACTTCGAAGGCTTCCGTAAGTTTCCCGTTGTGGATTACTTGGCATGCAGCATTGTCGTATAACTGTTGGATGAGGTGTATAATTGTCGATGGGACCCCGTAGTAGCGAAGTAGTTTCCAAATGACCTCTCGATCGACGCTGTCGAAGGCCTTTTCAAAGTCGATGAAGTTGAGATAGAGAGGTGACTGCCATTCCAAGCTTTGTTCAATGATGATCCGTAGAGTGGCGATTTGATCAATACATGATTTGTTTCTCCTGAATCCAGCCTGTTCCGGACGAAGTTTTTCATCTAGGGCTTGTTTGATTCTCTCCAGGATGATGCGACTTAGTATCTTGCTTGGAATGGACAGAAGCATAATTCCACGCCAGTTTTTACATTGACTTAAGTCTCCTTTCTTTGGAAGTTTGAATAAGTATCCGTTCTTCCAATCCTCGGGTACTTTGCCCTCTTTCCACACCTTCTCCAGCAGTGGTGTCATCAAGTCCGCTGTTGTCTCTGGGTCTATTTTCAAAGCTTCTGCTGGGATTCCATCTGGTCCCGGTGTTTTCCCAGTTTTAAGCATCTTGATTGCATTCAGGACTTCTGATTTCGTCGGGGGGTCAGTGTTCACTGGTAGTTCTGCTTCCGTTGTTGGTATTGCTGGACGTGTTGTAGGTGGCGGACGATTTAGAAGTCTTTTGAAGTGTTCAACCCAGTGCTTTCTCTGTTCCACCTCTTTGGTGATTGACTTTCCATTGTCGTCCTTTATTGGCTTAATCTGTGTCGAACGTTTGCCCGAAAGGTGCCTAGTTGTTTGGTAGAGTGTGGCGAGGTCTCCTTTGCCTGCAGCTTGTTCTGCTTCGTTTGCCATGGTTTCATAATATTTTCTTTTGTCTTCCCTGGCACTCTTCTTCACTCTTTTGTTCAGTGTATTGTAGCTTGCATTCAGCTCCTGTTTTTGTTGCTCGTCAGTGCACTGGATAATCTTTTGCTTCACTGTCCTTCTCTCTTCTATTAGTTTCCAAGTGTCCGTAGTGAGCCACTGTTTGTCCTGTCTCTTTTTTCTGCCTAGAATTTCTATGCAGGTTTGGCTCCACACCGTTTTCAAGTTGTTCCAGTGCTTTTCGACGCTGACCTTTTCGCTGGTGTTGATTTGTGTCTCGGCTTTGTCCTTTATGCTTGCAATGAAGATGTCCTTTGTAGCCTGGTCCTTCAGCTTTTGAGTGTTGAACTTGGCTTGTGGTCTATCTGCAGCTCCTGATTCCCTGAAAGCTTTTAATTTGATTTGGATTGTCCCTTGTACGAGATAGTGGTCTGAGCCAACGTCTGCTCCTCTTCTTGCTTTTGTGTCCAGTAGGCTGCGCCTCCACTTCCTTGAGATTGAGATGAAGTCGATTTGGTTTTTGGTTTGCCCGTCTGGTGACACCCATGTAGCCTTGTGGATATCTTTGTGCTTGTATACACTGCCACCAATCACCAGTTCGTTGAAGGCGCAGAAGTCGGCGAAGAGTTCTCCGTTTTCATTCATTTCTCCTAGAGCTTCTCTACCCATGATGAGTTCCCTTCCTGTATTGTCTGGTCCCAGTTTGGCGTTCATGTCTCCCATTAGTATTTTCATGTCGCCAGCTGGAGTATTGTCCATTGTTGCCTGTAGTTGCCTGTAGAATTCTTCTTTCTTTTCGAGGTCTGCGTTGTTTGTGGGTGCATAACATTGTATGATTGACACTTTCCTTCCTTTGGAGTTGAACCTGGCGGTCATTATCCTGGACGAAATCGCCTCCCATTGTATCAGGGCTTTCGTTGCCGTTGGTGACATCATGATAGCCACGCCCTCGGTGTGCGTGTGGTTATCTTCTGGGTGACCGGAGTAGATCACTGACTCACCTGTTGACAATTTGGTGAGTCCACTCCCATTCCATCTGCTTTCACATATTCCCAGCACTTGTATTCCGTATCTTTTCATCTCGTTGGCGATCTGGGCAGCTTTCCCAGTCTCGTACATAGTTCGGACGTTCCATGTTCCTACACAGACTTTTTCTTTTGGTGCAAAGAGGTTCATTCTGCTGAAGGTTCTGTAGCAATTTTGTTTACAGGGTGGGGTTGCTAGCCTCACGCCTGAGAAAAGAATGATTACATTAAGTAAAAGTTTAGAGAGAAGCAACTTTTTGGGTTGCTCCCCTCAAAATCAGAAAATAACGGACAAACAATGAGAACAACATCAACAAAGGAAACAGTTCACAGAAAAAAGGGCAAAAAGCGACGACAACTATACAATACAACAACATGCAATATAGTTCAGCACAGTTAACTAAAATGATATCTTAACCATAAACTCACTGACTTGGAGCAACTTGAACATATAAATCCAACAATATATACAATTATAGATGTGTTTATGTTTAAAAATTCCACAAATCCAAATAGTTAGTTATATGTATTATCTGTCAATAAGATTGTATTCTTGGATTCAGTGTTCGAAAGGTAAATAATTGTGATAGTTTCCACAAACTCTTGGCATAAAATTTTAAAGAAATGAGTTTTTATTTATAAGGAAAATGTAACGCAGTAGTCGCTTCTTGGCTCTCTGAGCTAAGATCATGTGTAGATAGAAACTAGAATAAAATGAATACATTTATAATTACGCATGCGAAGCTATCGCCTTCTTTGTCGAACATTGCTGGCTGACATACACTTAAGTTAGGAATCAGTTGGAATTCAAATCAAAACAAACGATCAATCAATGAAGTTTTTGACTGTTGGTTTGCACCATGTACAGATGTGTTGACTATCTGGCTGAGGTCTTCAAAACTCTATGAACTAATGTCTGAAGGCTGTCGGTAACATGGCTCAAAACTATTCTCAATGGTGGAAAAGTATTCACTCTTTGTAATCTCCGAGATACATTCAATTATTATTATTATTATTCTACACATAACTATTCTCCTGTAACGACAAAAGGCAAGAGTCAGGCAACAGGTCGTTTATTAAGGAAATCAACACGTGTATATATATTTATATATATTTCATGTACATTATTATAGCTTATTCAAGCAAACAAACACAGTCTTCTGATTGGTTGTTTCTCACAGAAAGTTGACCTTGCATCTCTTTGTGACTGTTTCTTGAATGTCAGGTCATCTATATGTTAACTGTATCTGTCTACGCCAAGTCTGCTGTGATTAGTTGTTGAATCAGTCTTGTTCATATTTTCTCACCACCAATATTTGCGACATACCCATTGACGCAAATTGCTGTCTACCATTTTTGGCTAGCCTACTCTCACCAAAACTTGGCATCAGTCAATGAAATCCACAACAGTTGGTCTAAGCCACGTAGAAAGGTGTAGACTTCCAGGCTGGGGTCCTCGGGACGGTAAAAATCTATGGTTGGAAACAATTGGTGACATGGCTCAAAATCGTTCTCAGTGGCGCAGATGCATCCACTCCCTGTGACTTATGATCTTCAATGAAACTGTTTTGTATTTCTTTATTACTCCTTTGTCTCACACCTCTGCTCACTGTTTCTATTATGCTTTTCTTGTACTTTCTTCTCTTGCTTCGCGTGCTACACGGAATGTGGCGACTTGAACTTCCGCACATTTGTGCAAAGTTCTATGTCGAAAACAGACAGACAGACACTGCCCCCCTCCCGTATATTTCCTTTCATCAGAGTTTCTTTTAATTTTCTTCTCCACCTTCGTCAACTTTATGAAGTGTGGTAATTTGCCTGATTGAACTTTTGTGAAAACATTTACATTGATAACTCAGTCCTAATTAGTCAATACATTCTATAGTATGCCTTATTTTAGTTATTATCCTACGAATAAATTCAATAACATTAATGTTATATATATATATATATATATATATATATATATATATATATATATATTGTAAACTTGAATCAAGGCATTATGTTGTATGGCAGTTGTGAAACTATCTCACCAGTTCGACTTCCAACCACTGGGTCATGGGCCCGAGTCACCCCCCCTCTCCATCTACTGAGGTTTGACCACTCTCAGGCAGTGTCATATAGCATGTTCAGCTTGTTGTCAGCTGAATAGGAATACAGGTGATGGTGGTTGTTGATTTGAGTGCTGTATTTATATGATACTATCATAACTTATTAGGAAAACTTCATGAAAAATGATTTATATTAGGTACAGAAAAGTAACCCGTCGTCTCTATCATACATATTTTCTTTTTAAAAAAACAAAATGAGGCAAAAAAAATAGTTAATAAAGACAAAGAAATAAAATATGAAAATCAAAATGTCTGTGGTGTATATAAGTAAGTATGTGTGAAAGATAAGGCATCACATTATTCCTGCAAAAAAAAGAAACAAAATCATCTAACATTACTTCAAGTCGTATATTCATATTCTAGTTGGTATGAAAGCCGTAACATTAGTTGGAAGTTAATGAATAACAAATCAAATCATAAAATATATAAAATAAACAACCTTGGCAATATTGACACAACTGATATAGGCATTTTACAAAAAGTCTATTTAGCAACCTGCGTACGCGCTGGTACGGTTACGTAACGACATGTTGTTGTTTTTGGCTGTGTTGTTACAGTCGCAGCAGTTGATGTCGTTGTTGAAACTGTAGTTGAAGAATTTGTTGTCACTGTGCCTGTGATTGATGAGGGATGTGATGACAATGCAATAGTATTGCTACCGTGTAATGAAAAACTTTTATTTCGTAAAATACTTATATTATCCACTGTTGGAATAGTATCACCTGTTGGAGAGTCTAAATTAGCTAACGGAAGTGATGTTTTCTCTACAGGCTTTGATTTTGCCATATTATAGTCACCAGAATCGAAATATTTCACCTATTTTACGGTGTTTGAGGAAAAAAAATGAGATCGGATTAGTCTTATATACTCACAATAATTAATTAAATAATTAAATAGATTTTCAAATACTTTAATCATTTGATTAATGGTTTACAAAGTTTACAAGACAAAAAAATGTGCTAAATACAACCTATTCCTTTAAAAATGCTAAATCATTGATGCTATTAAGTAAACATTAATATGACTGTATAAAACACTGGGATCACGCTTATCCAATACACAACTGACAAAAATAATCTCTCCGGTACTACACACAATCAACCACCATGTTTACATTTCAACGACCATACGGACATTCATGTGATATATGGATATAAGTCACACCCCTATTACGTGGAAGCTAAAATGATACTACCTGGCTGCCTAAACATTGTTGCATGGAGTAGGGTTTGAACCAACGACCAAAATTATCTGCTAAGACCATTGTATTGCAAGTTTAAGCAGCATATGTAAAGGATTGTTTAGCGTTGTCAGAAATAAAAATAGCTGAGTATGGACAACACAAAATTTATGGAAAACTGTTAATTACAAAAATGATCCCCCACTTAAACTAAGTTCACGACGAAAAGCTACAAATATATGGTCGTTAATACTAAAATCAGTAACACTTTTGGTAAGCATACAGTATAAGATACTCTTGTTGTCTTGGCTAATCACCGTCTTTCCAAGAGATACAAGCTGGTTTGCGGTTATTTTAAGGAATCATATATCCCCGAAAGTTATGAGCTCTGTAAACCTGGAAGTCATCATATTGTATCTTCCCTTACTTACTGATACATTCATTCATAAAATCAGATCACTTAATTGCTTTTTCAAAAGAAAAATTAGAAACAACAGTGTCTTGCATCGCTTTTTTGTTAATCTCTTTGTACAAATAAATGTACGTCTTTCATTTTCGTAAGTTTATGTAAAGGATTTGAATCATCTCTTAAATGACCACAATCTATCCCCACATACATATCACTGATAAGTTTATTTAGAGCTCGGAAATGTATTATGATAACTGGCTAATTGTTTAAAACAAAGTGAAACTACGAAATTAAGAGATGATTAAAAAGTTGTCTGACAGTCAAACAACACAGTGAAGAAAAACTAACGACAAGAAGTAATGATGAAAATAACTGAGAAGTAAGTAGGAGCCAATAAAACGATTAGACATAAAAGCGTAACGAGAAGTGAATAAATTCACATCGCATTAAAACGTATTCAAGCCATAAGTATATAACCTGATCAGACATTTTATTGATCGATAATCAAGTCATTTAATGTAAAACGTGGCTATGACTAACAAACAAGGGGTGAGTTGCTTCTTTTTTTACTATTCCAGACGCTATATGTATAACAGCAAATAGTAACCAGACATTTAGCTTGCACACAGTCATCTTAATCAATACGAGCTCTAAAAATCCAAGAAATTGAAATGATATTAGGTGACGAAGCCCATTTGAATGGGGTTAACAATAAGTCAGAATTATCATGTGGAGGTTGACGACGCTATGCAACTACCAAAAGTGCAGTGAGCGAAACAGCCTCTAAACCCGTACACGAATACCTGAAGGTTTACTACGATAAATGGGTCACTCATTTGAAAAGCTACACTTAACTTACAAGACTGATAACTCATAATCTCAGTACATGCAAGTTTGTTGTTTTGAGCATTGGAAAGATAAGTTACTTGCAAGCAGCTTGTTTTACCCTACTACTCTACATCTACGAGAAAGTTACTCGAGATGCTAAGCATTTGAAAGTAGCACCTTTCTTAACAGCAAATATATGTGCTCGGGTGTTAAGAAACCAAAAAGATTAGACATAACATTAAATAAAAGAGTACTTTTGAGAGTAAAGACAAGCACATTCGTCAGCTGAGATAATTGAACCATGTACTACTACAATGTCAACCGAAAAGATAGGTAAGCCGAAGTAGCATCAATCTGGAAAGAAACTGAGTGACCAAACCACATCGTGAAATTACACTTCTGGTCTAATTTATTTGCAGAGGTAATACGTTTCCAGCATAGTACGTAAAGTATTTTAGAAATTGAATGAGAGGAACTTTCCGTGGCGTGGCCTGAATACCGTCAGATTCGTCTGTTCAGCTGTGCATTATATTCGAAATTTTTACTGGTTTTGCTCACCCTCATTCTGGTTTTATTTTTTTCATTAATATCACTACATTTTTGTACATTTTGTTTATGCTATTGTAGAATGAAAATACATAAACAAGAGCGGATTTTGATGTAAAACAACATTTTCAACCAACTAAATGCTATAACCAACTTTTAAAACACTAAAAGTACATGAAATCCATCCTTACACTAATGCAAAACTATGCTGAAAATCCACTATTTTATTGAATAATTAAACCACTAGTCTCCGAGTTATTGGTGTAACAAGATGGCGAATAATATTTTTATAAACCTCAATAACAAAAGCATTACTTTATAACCTCAGAAGCGAATTTAATTAAGCATAAATCTAAGAATTTTCAAAGTCGGGAACATCTCTGATATGCTGTGTTTAAGTTGCAGTACATCGTTATAATTTTAAAGCGTATGCGATATGCCTTAAATTTAAAGCTAATAGTTTGTATGCCAAATTAAAACTGTCATAAAAGCATGAGACGAAGGATATCTCCGTAAAGATTCAAAAAGGTATACTGCAACAATACTTAAACGGGTTAAGGTCTGTGTCGTAGAGACAAAACAGTTAAGTCGGCTTTAGAGGAAGTGTCACCGTAAAATAACCCTTTGTTGCTTCCAATGGAAATCTCAAGAAAAAGAAATATATCCACCTGCATGGGAAATTCTTTAAAACCTCAGCAAGAAAATCCATCCCGCATATGAAAGGGTTTTTGAAGCATTTAAAACTGATTGAGATCCCACTCGGAACTTGTGGAAATTTGGCTCTACGATGAAGGCTATATTAAATCCCATCGTCATGATGTACACAGCAACTGCATTTAATGGGTTAGATAAGTTAAGAACCTCAGTAAAATTTTCCGAAATCTTTACTCAACTATCAGAATGGGCTATTCTCCGGAATTTCATCCAGTATCCACAATCTCAATTCTTACAAAGTTTTCTTCGTTTGGGGTGGATTCTTTCGGGTCGCTTCTCAACGCTTATGATTTTATCGACACTACGTGGAATCTACATTTTGTAAGACCACTTGTCATGGTCTTTCTTGTTCTCTTCACCAATGCACTTATCATAAAGAAGTATTGCTTCCCATGCAGTTTCATAGATACTAACAATATGAACATGAATGATTCACTTTATTATCTGACCACAAGAGACCTGAAAAACTGCTGTGAATTGTGCTGATCACCTTCATATTAAGTTGAATTACTGTGCACAGAAAAATATATGGGGTCGAACCCAGCCTCAAATCAGGATTTCAATTTTTTGATTTCTTATTGGAAAGGGCATATGATGGTTTTTCCAGACGTTAATCAACAAGAAGTGAAAGTGGAAATCAATACATTAATTTGCGCATTTGGGTCTTTTTGAACAGGAAGATAGACCTAGTTCATCAATCATCTTCACGGAATAAAAATACCTGTAGTGGAAATATAGTCGACGGTAAACCAGAAAGACCCAGGTAGGTGATTTTACAAAATGGATACCCTACAAAATTCACAGGTAAAAGTCATTAACATTAAAATTCCATATTAGATAACTCTACTTAATATAACACACAATGACACAATGAGAACAACTTGACGGCGTTTTGAGCGCGATTTACTGCTTATAGCCATCAATTTATTCAAACAGGTTCATTATTTGCTTTAAAGGTACAGAGAGCAAACTAGCAGCACGAGGCTAATCAGATTGCTGGAACGCAGGAATTTAGGTAGACCCAGGATAATTCACCCTGCTAATCTAAGTGATCTAGAAAACAATTCCCGGTCATTGAAATGCATTCACTTGCATGTAATCACACAAAAGAGTGGGTGAGGGTATAATTATTAGAAATGTACTATAGGTGGAGAAAGTAGTCACCCAATCCTTATTCATCGAATCAATATCAAACATTTGTAATCAAATTGACGCTACGTTTAAACTGGACATATGGAGGATTGCAGTACACAACACTGGGGAGGAAATATATGTACAAATTATAAAGCCGTCCGATCAATTAATATAATTATGAGCAATACACTGTTCTCGAGTGTCATTCTGTTATTAATAACGCATTACTGAATGCTATATCAAATCTAACTCACATAGAACTAAACTACCACAGTGACCAGATTCTACTCTTACACTAAACATGAGCGATAAACACAGATTAAAAAGAACCAACAGAATTTCTGAGAGCCCAATTATCTACTTTCCATTTCTTGTATTATCAAAACGGATGCTTTAACGGCTAAAAATAGATTTGATGAGAAATTAAGACCTAAATGAGAAAAGAGAGGACGAAATGAATTTCAGAACAATAATGTCACGATTTCGAGTCCTTAATTCAAAATTCCGAGAATATTCACGTTAATATTTAAGTTTTGGCTTTTAGTTAACAATTATTTAACAATAAAATCGAAATATTTGATCAACATTGCCTTGAGATTATTGAGATTAAACCCACATTTTTACTTAAACGTCGGTGTAGGAGTGACGATGCGTTATTGACCAAACCAGGATACTTAGCACGTAGCTTTTCAGATTCTTGCTAATTTAATATATGCAAAATGTTAATTTCATATGCAAACCTTCAGAAGTTCATTCTCACCAACATCGCCAGCTGAACTCATTGTAACGCAACTTTCAAAATGTTATGTATGCAGTTAACTACACTCAATGCTTCCACTGGCAATTACAACTTTACAAATGTTGAAAAAATGTTTCCTGATTTTCAACGGACCCCTCTGTGGTCCATTTCCTCACTTCCTCACGGTAGCTATGACGAGTAATTGTAAGCGAGGTTTATTATGTGTTGATATGTTGTATGACATTCGTTCGGACTGTGACGTTCCTATGATTTGGGTTAGTCGTTTCAGTCATCCACCCTACAACATGGTCAAAAAGTGAGATAATGATATCAAAATGATTACAATGATGGATATTCAAATTTGGAGAGATAACTGAAGAGTGAGACAGGATAGGCTGTGTATGTATCAAGGATGATTGTGGATGAGTGTGAGGGTTACATTTCAAGTAGCTAAGGAAGACAGTTTGTTGAACACAGTTCGCATGTCACTGAGTGACCATCCACCTCCATCTTAAGCTAAATAACTATGGCACAGTTCCCGCAGCTCTCAAATCACCCATCTGATCCGAAAATGACAATCATTAACCACAGAAACAGGTCATTCTTCTCGATGGAAGGTTGCGTAGGTTGGCCACCTTGCATTTCCTGGTGTTAAAAGCCACTTCAGTGGTCTGCATCTGCAGTATAATTGGGTCTTCCGAACATTCTATCTCCCTCCAAATATTTTGGTCAACAGCCTATGGCAGTCCAGACAGCATTTCAGATACTTGCTGAAGAATGGAAGCAGTAATGCACTTGGAAAATAAACTTGCAAGACTCGAGGGGATGAGTTATTCTGAGGAGGATGGTCACGATTGACTTGTGAACAGTATTTCTGCCACCAAAACAAACCATGTATTATGATAAGAATGGGATATACACACCTGGACTGTTCCTTGAAGAAAAACATCTCGTTGAGCGGTGTCAAATGCCTTGAAATGGTCAGGAAGGACCATATGAACTCGAACGAGCATACCGCAGCATGGTTTATGGTCATTCAATCTTATTCTAGGTATCATCCACAGGATCAACCTCCCCTGAATCCATACTACGCTTCATTCACAGTGCTGTTCATAACACGGGATTTTCCGGTATGTTGACACCAAGATTCAGCTATAATAATTATGGGGGTATGTATACAAGTGAGTGTGCCCTGAGCATCGGTAGTTTGTTTAGATCTTACATTAATAAGGATTAAGTAAAGTTGAGAGTAAAAGTAATGTTTGAAGTACTTAGGCTCGTGAATCAGGCTCAAGTGTCATTCACCATACGCTGGTTCCGGCTCTCATGACAACCCTGCATAACAGTTGGTGCCAATACCACGTTGCCCTATGTCTATCGAGTTACTATTAGTTTCTTTTAGTGGATAGTGAGTTTTACCATTGGTTCCACTATTGGATGAGGTATTTCTAGGCATCGGTAGGAGTTTTTATTTGGCCTATGCATTGGATGTGATTAATAATTGCGTGTGCACTAACCTGTGTCTCTTTTCTTCCCAATACGGAGCCGACATTAATGGCACCAGTCCAGAATAGTTAACATCCCCACCAGCTGCTTGCACAGCATTGGCAAGGATGTGTTGGATAAAAAAGCCATTCATACCTTGTGATACTCATGACTTATCAATCTGCCTATTGTCTGGAGACGTTCTAAGTGACCTAACATTGGTTTCATTGTATGCATGCCGAACTGTGGTTTGATTCCCAGAAGACTTGTTCCGTATATTCTGCCAAAGGTGGTTTTTGTATCATACTTCGAAGACCCAGAGTGGTTGGTGGCTGAGCTCTGAGTGTTGCCACTTGTACCATTTTTGTGTGATAGTGTTGCTACACCAGCTATTATTGTGACTTGGCATAGTATGCGAACAAGTTGTGTCGTGATTTTCAGTGGACCCTATGGCCTCATTTGTGTATTTAACTAGGTCGTTAGCATACTTTTGTATATTATTTACGTTACAGCGCGGATTATTCTTGGGAGTTTGAAAATGTATGGGATTTTTCATTACGAGTGGTGTATTTCGGCACGTTTTGTTACCGAATTTCATTTGACCTCTCACGTTTTGGCTAGGAGACGATGTTGTCGACTTACAGGAGGGATTGATTTCTGTCTCAGGGCTGTCCTGAGACATACCTAGATACACGACGGAGAGTGGAGGGGCTAATTTAGCAGTAAGATTATAATTCACTAGTGTTTCGGTTTGCGTCGTGTTCTGTGGGGCCATTTTTGTGAGATTTCAGAAGGGGAAGGTCATGAGTTCTACGGTGTTGGCCATAGGTTCATGTATACTGGTGACTTCAGATTTCGTGAGGTGATTGTAAACACGACTGTCAATCACTGTCTAAACTGCTACAGCTTCTGTTTGTTTGTAGCTCGTACACTGTAATAGGATATGTTGTGAATTGATGAATCCCTCATCCTATGTATGTGTTTCAAACTGAAGGTGTACAGGGCGGCAGCGGTCGCGCTGACCCTATTTCAGTCTTTGGCTCTTTCTTTGGGAGTCGGGTATTTTCGCCGCCCTAAGAAAGATGTCTCGAACCCTTCTACACCCCTCATTATCCGGTGTATTGAAGACTATCACACTTAGTTTATATTATATTTATGTTTATTCCAATCTATGTAGGACACACCAGTTTTACAGGCATGGATAAGTATTATTTACATTACATCAATTTGATTTAATGTGAAAATAGAGAGTTTCTGTCTTCTCTGACATTAGTTTGTGTGTACAATCTTGAAGCTAGCCGCTCAATGGAGCGCATTAAGAAATATAGAAATATTGTCTTCGCATTAGCTGATCAGTAGATATGGTGGTGGTCACTAAGGTGAATCACCCCATTCTGCAGGAACAGCAAAACACAAATTAAAGGCTCGAGATATTTCTGATTTTTATGAGGGCTTAGATCTCTATCTTGAAAAAGATAATAGTGAACGCCTTGACAGATAATGCTTCTACCTTTAAATATATACCATTCGCTCAGCCTATTGTTGAGATGCGACCACGTGGGATCTGCACAGATTTATGGGGCATCTTATAAATTAACTTGCTATCCATTGTCAGATCTTTAAATACCACTTCACAATATCTTGTCTCACTTATTTTCTAATAACGTCTTTACTTGATTCTCATTATATTCCATTAAACCTAACATTTTATAGCTCTTTATGAATTTGATTCGACTTATTCTATTCCTATTCTCTGGAGGGTACGGTTGTGCACCAAATAGAAAAAAAGACATGAAATAAAAACAACTGGCTTGAAAATAATTGTATTAAAGCCAAAAGTGGACATGATGATAATATAAAATATATTGGTTTCATTATACATTGCAAATGAACGTTGTCGGCCTAAGGATTAATTACTTCCCCATTCTGTTTCCTATATAAATGTGTTTATTAATGATATATTTCACTCACTTAATCTATTACACTCTAATGTTTCACCTCAGCACTTTAGTTTTTCTAAAACAGCTTCCAATTCCTTGTAAACGTTGTACTTACCTCAATATTGGTTGGTTATCGTATGCCTACAACCACGGGATGAAAACGAAACGAAGTCGATTTTCCCGCTCAACCTGGAGGACAACTGTACAATTCAATAACTATACGGCCTGGTTCAGACAATCAGTGTAATTATATATATATATATATATATATATATATATCAAATATTAAACTGTTGAAACATTATTAACTTGTAGACAATTTAAGATTTGACATTATATCATCCTTGATCGTGCCTGTAAAAATGGCATGAATTTTCATGTAAATTTATGTTTATATGAAAATAAATTATTATTATTATTATTAACAAAAAACCCAAGTGTGTGTTTGGTGGATTACAAATATTCACGTGATGGTTTGTAGGGATTTGATTGGTTTCAGGATTTCATCATGAGCTGACATTAGTTAGAGAACCATTGGAAAACCTGGAAGTACTGGACAGCTGTTTCGTCCTAGTTTGGGACTCTTCAGCAGTACGCACTCCCGGGGTTCGAACCTAGGACCTTCGTGTTACAATGAGATGCTCACTAGCGAGTGGGCCTATTCAGGTAGGTAGTTACCTGGGTTCCAGTGGGAAGTCGTGACCAGTAGGGTGCAGCCGGTCGGGTGTGAGGACAAACACTCGCCGAAGACATTGGCTAGCGGTTGCGCTATATAATAATAATAATGGTAAAGCTTTATCTAAGACAGTATGCGAGTATACGGTACAAAAATTTTCAGCGTATTCAGTTCCAAAGTACTTTTTTCACACAGGATTAACATGTAAAGTAATAATCTGAAGTATATCTTCATTTCGTTGAAGAATTGTACAGCGTTTACCTGGGAGCAAGTTAGATCATCGCGAAAGTTTATGTATAGGTTATTTGATATAACTGGATGATTAAAACAATGATAAATCCAGATGAAATTAAGCATTTTGGAGGAAAGTAATTTCGGTAGCCCAATGATTTAAGCAGGCCGCCAGGGAATTGGCAGAAGTTAGAATTCAAAGACCATTGGATCGGGGTCCCAGTAGCTTATGGTCTACGAGCTCTCTAGCCTTGTAACCGGAAGGTCCTGGGTTCGAACCCCGGTGGGTGCGTACTGATGAAGAGTCCCAAACTAGGACAAAAACAGTTGTCCAGTACTCCCAAGTTTTCCAGTGGTTCTCTAACTAATGTTAGCTCATGATGAAAGGTTACAAATATTTGGGAAAAACTAAAGCTTGAAGTCAATCTCTCCACATAACTTAGTTGTGTGCGACATCCTATCTTGTTCTTGTTTTGTGTTCGAATTGGGTATTAATTTAAAATAAGAGATTTATTTGTATGATTTTTCATCATTTTTATTGCAATTGAAACCAGATGTGAATTGTACTGAATGCAGATTCATATTGGTTATTGTAGCTCAGTTTGTTTTACTGCATCCCACGTCAGCCAAGGCCGACATTTGTCGCTGCATGGTAGTTCCGTACGGGTAAGTTGATTAACACGTAGAATGCTATATGTAAACCATTTTACA